ATACAGTTCCCGCAATGTTTTTGTTGCACGAATTATCATATAGAACCGAAACATTACTTGTTACGACACGCTAACTAAGAGCGTGTTTTAGGCCTGGGGCTTAGGCGATGTTTATGTCCTCGAGAACGTAGATTTTTCACAAACCATCTAAATATTTCTCATTGTCAAAGTTACAATCTTTAATCAGCTGATCCTTAGCTGAATTTAAAATCGAGATTAACTTTTAAAACTAGTTGCAATCACATTCAATTAGTTTAAAAAGCGGATTGTTCTAGATCTTTTGTTTGCCTACGTTTTGAGGCAGCAGTTGTCCCCCATAACGTTTTCAAGAGGTGTACAAAACAAAAACAGATAAAAGTGATTTTTTTTACCAGTTGCTGCGTTGTTTGTTCGGACTTGCCTTAACGAAAGAAACTGAAAAAAAGACGAGTTCTGACGTAATCAGAATATGAACAACTTTAAATAAATTCTGGGGCATAAAAGAGCAAATTTCGGCCCGAGAACTTGAAACGTCTAAAGCAGATAACTGCAAAAGCTTTTCAAATAGAGTACTTACCGCAAAAACTATTCCCAGGGTTGGACTCACATTTCTGGTAGAGTCCACATGTAGCTGATGCCAAGAAGAATATAGTGACAAACTTCTCAATCCCATTCATGAATTGCTGAAATCGATATTTTAAAGTTAAAACGCAATTAAAGTGATAAACCTCTCGAGAGCAACAAATTCGTCGGCGTTGTAACCGTCGTTTGCAATGTTGTTGTGATGTCACAAATACCGTTTGGCTACGTCATGGTCAGCAGCGCGCGCATACTGTAACCTTCAGAATATCATTAACGTGCCACTTTTAGAAAAGTGTTTCAAGGATCTTCGCGTTATTTGTACAAGAACTCGAAATTTTTTTTCGTGAAACCCCCTCCCCCCCCCATCAGCCACTTTGAAATGTAAATATATTATTAAAATTTACCAATCAAACGTTTTTGTGCACGCTTACCTAATTTACAGCGCAGATGTGCATAGAATATGTTTGCGCGCGCAAACATTGAAACTTGTTAATCAAGGTCCACAAATAAGACACTTCCTTGTTTCGTTTTGCATTTCCTTTCCGTCTTTCCCTTCATGGACATAATGACATGTTTGAGGAACATGCAATTTCAAAACAGAAGGGCTCAAGAGAAATGCAAAAGGTGACTTTGGAATCTGATGCTCGAATTTGAAATGCTATCAAATTGTCGATACGGGCTGTCGAACTTCGCCCAAGTTAAAATGTCTCTATTCGTAGCTAATTAGTATAGGTAATCGTAAAAATGCGAACGTAATTAAGAATTTACGCTATACGAGTGATATCTGAAAATTCTAAAAATTACGCGAGTTTAAAATCCTTAATTGCTCGAGCTTTCATGCAAAAACTCGCATATTAAATGACTGACAAAATTACAACCGAGGGTGCGTAAATTTGTAATGTTGTGAGAATTGAAAATTAACAGTAAGTGTGCTTCCTCTCAGCCGATCACAATTAGTTTATTTTCTCATGTTACATGATGTACAAATCAAACACGGGAAACAGTAGCCAATCCCATTTTAAAAACCAAGAAGAGAGTTGAAAATGCCATAAGCAGCGGAGTATTATTGAAAAAAAATTCGACATATTCCTGTTTCTCGGAAACAGAAAAGAAACTTTTCTAATCAAAGCCTTTCGAAAATACTTTTGCTTCCGACGTCTTTATTTACCCCACCCATAGCGGAGAAACTCTTTTCTGGACAATCTTCTCTCGCAAAGCCAGAATGCCGTGTTCTCTCTCAGAATTCTTCATATACCTTGTGGCGTTTTGCCCAAGATAAGATTTTGGGGCGAAAACAAGAACTTAGTTTACGCGAAACAAGCTGGGTAGATTTTCCTTTTTTGTTTTCATGAAAATAGACAACAGTTCATTTTTTCCAGGAACGTATTCAACATTTCTTTTGTATAATGCATTAACTATCATTCTGTTGGTGAGGCTGCAATTTGTTTACTTTAAGGTTAAAGAAATCGGGTAAAAGAGATTATTTTCATCTGAAAAATCTAAGATTAAAACAGACAAATATTTGTGTTATATTCGTAGACAAAGGGAAACTATTTCTATCGCACTCTCTTGTATAGGCCTGTCAGTTACTTTTCAGAAAACCAATTTTTACAGCGGAAGTCAAGTTAAAAGGCAGCATAAACAGGTGCATTTGCAAAGAAAGAAATTAACCACAGTATCAGCAGATGCTAGATAAGATATTGGTGCAATAATGTTTGATTACAAAGAGCGCGCTATAGGTCATATCATGTTATATTTTCGAATTTCTCTTTTAGTAAAAGGGCGTAAAAAGGTGCAAGATTTCTGCGTGCGGTTCGCTGAAGATCATTGTTAAGACAAAACAGACAAACAAGAGTAAAGTCTGGCTTCTAATACAAACTGCTTTACAGATCTAACAACATACAAAATTACCATGCATTTTATATGTTTACCTTTGTAAACTGATAACGTTAGAATTGAATTACTTGAACAAATTTTTATTAAAAAGAACTGACAGCCTAGTACGTCAGAAAAATTAATCAACTACCTAGACAAAAAAACCCCTAAACAGAAAAATTTTATTTTTTTTCCAAATTATAAATTTTGTTATCCTTTAAAATTCGATCGACATCAAAACGTTGTTATTTCACAATACTAAAGATATTTCATTTTAACAAACATTTCATCTACGTTAGTAAGCAGTATATCATGTTGCTACTTGTTCAGTAACGCCTGAAGTTTTAACTAGTGTTTGCATAAAATGTCAGGTGCATATGAAACTAAGTAAGCTTTGAAAAACTGAATCCCGTTTTCTGCTATCTTGTATCTATGTGTTGGAATATCATCAATACTAAAATAACTCAGCTTTTGTATTTGCTGTGCATGTTTGCGATTTTCTTATTTTAAATTCTACGTGAATTGAACTGAGCTCGGCACACCCAAAAGGATTTTAATTACTTCAGGACGCAAAGGGATCGTTCACAATGAACACACTCGTACCAACGAATTAAATATTAATTTGATCTAATCATGCAGGACCATGAACAATTAATACTTCAAAGCGTTCTGTGTTCTCACAAAGTCAGCCATAAAGAGTTAGCTTCACAGTTCAGGGGATCAAAGGATCTCATTAGAAAGAAACAGCGAAGCTTTGCTTGCCAGCTTGGTGAAAATTTGACAACTCTTTCAATCTGCAGTTTTCGTCAATTTTCTTGACACATAAAATGAAACTAAACGATTCAAATATTTTGACGTTAAGAATTGTGGCTGTTGTAGTCTTAATCTCAGCTGCAAAATGCATCTTTGGGGAATTTCCCATCCCAGTTGGTTTGTATGCCAAACAGTTTATGATTTGTGCTTTTGCAAGCCACTTAGAAAGTGTTTTGAAAGTTGGAAGTAACAAATTTTATCTTTTTCCCGATTCAGAGACAAAAGGCAGTGACTTTATTGTGAAGTTTCAAGGTAAAATTGTTAGCTGGAAAAACCTTATAGAACTGCTCCGCCAGCAAAACTTCACCGTGCCAGATGAAGGGAGTGTTCTTGCTGCAGTGCATCGAGACAAGGGTTCTCGGGATCAGTCGTGTAAACACAGATGTTTCTTGGATGAAAGAAGATCTCTTTCTAGGACTTGCTTCTGTGACAAGGCTTGGAGCACATTCGGGGATTGTTGCTTGGACTTCCATTTAAAGTAAGGCTTAAGAAGCAGCCATCCAAACTAGGATTTCCAAATGAAAAGAATTCCTTAGACCTTGAAATAGTAGTGAAATATTACTCATTTCTGCCCGTATAGTCTGTAGCAGTAGTTTCAACCGCTTTACAACCGCCTTTCTTGGCAACGTTTTTTACAATGTCGATCACTTTCTTTCCACGAAGTGTTACTGTGATATTTTGCATCGGTTTGGAAACGCAGATATGCCCCTATGTGAAAGATATAACTTTACTGCCTAGCGAATAACCAAAAAAAGACGATTCGTGTCCAGTTGTTAGGACACAGACTGAAGTGTGAACTATGCACTTCCTCCCTCAAGTGAGTTTCCGTGTGGTTGTCGTGCAAGCGTAGCTTTACGATCGAGGTAGTCCTATCGGCTACCTAGATCGAGATATTAGTTAGTTTGGCCTCGGGTTAAAAAGAATAATTTAAAAAAAAGGTTTTTTTTTTTCTGCCATGAAATATTAATGAATTTGTATAATGAATTCCGGATTGTGTTTCCTCAGATGTGGTGAGACTGGCAATGACGAATTATCTGGAAACATGACGTGTGGAGACGTTAATGATCCCGCCCATCCATGGTCTGGGGTAATCATGAAATCTACTTGCAGTTTACAGAGATATCAAAACTCAAGCGAATGCCAAACTGTTCGTAAGTTGGATTTAGCGCTAGAGAGGGAACTGCCCGTCTTTGACCGGACGCAGAATGTAATTTACAGAAGCATTGCTTGTGCCAGATGCAACAATGCAGTTTCCTGCACGAGTAGCAATCCATCGTTTTCTACTCCAGTTAACATGACTGCTGTAAAGAAGTTTCTGAAGGAACATCCGGACTGCTCATGGAAATACGCTCCAAGAAATGACAAACAACAATACAAGTATTGTGTGCTGCATGATGCACCATGTGCTTTGAATTCGAATCATCTGCGAGTGTTATCCACAGTCAAAGATCTGTGTTTATCGTATTCTATGATTTTTTCAATCGACAACAGATTTACGTACAGAAACCCTCACTGTGCTCTTTGCAATCCAGACGGGCTGTCTTTAGAGGACGAATTTAAACCATCCGTTGTGGCACCTTTGCCAATCCTTTTGGATGTAAGCAGAGGCATTCCAGATACAAAAGCGCAAAAGGATCCACCGCCCACAATCATCACAGGACCTCCCGTACAAAGTTATAATCTGACTTCACAGTTGTTGAACTGTACCTCAAATACCACAAACTGCACGGTCATCTTTCGAAATTACAACTGTGAACATTTTGCTGTGAAAAACCAATCAGCGCAAATAAGATTTTCCTTGAACGAAAGGCATGACGTCGTCTTAATCAGCCAAAAACAATTTTTACGAGAGAAAAATGCCATGAAGCTGCAAGGAAATACGATTTATATTTTGTGTCAAGAAAACCAGATTGAACGTAGTAGGCATGATAGACAGGGTGGTAAGGAGCCAAAGTGGTATGACTCTGAAGTCCTTATCTATGTCACATTTACTGGCACACTTTTGTCAATCATCTCACTGCTTTTTCTGCTCTACGTTTACACGTACTTTCAAGAGCTAAGAAATCTGCCTGGAAAATGTCTCATTAGTCTCTCTGTGGCGTTGCTGTGTTACCAAGCAATTTTTCTCGGTACTGCAAAGTCACGAGAAGTGGCTACCCTTTGCAAAGTAGTGGCCATTTTTCTGCATTTGTTTTTGCTTGCTGCATTTTCTTGGATGAGTGTCATGGCGTTTGATACTGCAAGTACTTTTAGTGTAAAAGGTTAGTGAACTACTAAACATGAAACCTTTTTTGACGAGGGGCTCACACCATTATCAGGTCGCCCAGTTTCTCTTGACAAGCGACCTCCATTCAAATATTCACCTGCCAGCTTTTTCAAAGGTGGAACTCTTATTGTTTTACTTCAACACGGGCAATCAGTCGTTACCCTCCCTGACAAGTGTTTTCATTCTCACACCTACATTAAGCGAGTCTTTTGAGCAAAATTCTTTGATCAAATGTTTATATAATATTATTTTATGTGATAAAACGCCCTCAAAGTGGCAAATGCAATCATTTCCACGATAAAATGTGACTTTATTAATAAAAACATCATCTCATATCCCCTTGTCGGTGAAAGAGGAAGAGTTTGATCCTTGCTTAATTTTCCTCAGTATGAGATTGTAAATTGTAAAAAACGGAGTAACATTGGGGAACATTAGACTTCACCGTACTTTGTTGAGGCATACGATTTGTGACGTCATAGTTAGTGCTACCCCGGTCCGCAGTCGCGTGGTTAGCGAACATAATATAAAATTTTGAACTGAATCGCCACGTCTTGTCTTTTCCTTTTCGCTTTTGAGCGATTGCTCCAAGAACGAAGAATATATAAGTTTTGACTCTTCCTTCCATTTTGAATTTCGCCTCAATTACCAGTTGAATGGTTCGCTTTTCGGAAATTTAACAAATTTCCGGAGATTCTAGATATTGTTTTCTAGGAAACTTCCTCGTTTCGAATAACGAAGCGCGCGAAGTCTAAAAATAGAGTGCAAAGTATTGGAATCCCGCAAGAGTCAAAGAACATAAGCGCGCTCTGAGAGAAATAGGAGGAAATTGAACGCCAAATTTTCGTTTCAAAAATTGTTTTAGGAACACTTGCTTACGCGCTTGAAAAAAGCTTGAAATCTTTCCTCATTCCATTTTGTTTGTCTGTGGTTGTCTGAGTTATGAGGTCACTCGCGCGCTTCGCTGTTTTTCGGATTCTTTTTTGAGTGGAGAGCGCTCTATGTTTTTTTTTAACGTTGACTTTCTCGTTCTTTTTTCCCTGTATAGTGACTGACACAAGAAGACAACCTTCAGACATCAGGAAGACGTTCATTAAGTATTGCATTGTGGGATGGGGACTGCCTGCTGTGATTGTTGCTTTGTGTTCTGTCCTGGATTTCACAGGAACTTTTCATTTCGGATATGGTTTGTAGACAAAAATAGCTGGGTTTATTGCATCACCCTGTTGATAATATGTCTTCTGTTAACCCTTTCCACCCGCAATAAAAAAAAAAAGATTTTTGGAGAACAATTACTTATATCTTACGTTTTGTAATTCTTGATTCGATAAGGAAATGCGGCATATTGCTGGATATCAGACACAACATTGCTCGCAGTTGCCGTGGTGACCCCTGTTAGCCTTTCTGTGGTTTTCAACCTAATGTGCTTGTCGAAAAGTGTTTATGCAATTCGTCACCTGCAGCAGGTATGTTCTATTACGGCAAGAAGAAATTTTTTAGTTTGCTTTTCCCTGCTTAAAAAAGGAGCTGATTAAAAAAAAATCATAGTTATATATGCGTGAAACGAGCAATATAAACCAACACAAAATTTACGTTGCCGTTCTTATGTACGAATACCACATGAAAGCAATAGAAACAACACTACACCCCAGAACAACGTTGTAAACGAGAACTCCTGGCATTACGAAGGGGTAACAAAGGCTACAGCAAATCTACGAAGGACAAAATCTTTGCATATGCCTGGCAATCCCACAAAAAAAATTTACAGCACACTGCCACTAGAGCAGGTTCTCTCTGAATGGGGGAAGGAGGAATGAATATTAGTTATCATTTTTAACTTATCAGTAAATTTTTCCTGATTTTAAATCCCAACTAGTCTATCAGTCAAAAACGGTTTCATTTTCCAGCTGACTATTACACTTTTAACCAATTGTCAGACCTTTTGACAAACTTTCTGACCGAAATATTTCTCACATAGTTAGTAGAGATTTACAGAAAGATACTCGTGTTTTGAGAAATATCTCACTTAGTGCAATTTTTAATTAAAAAATCTAAATCAGGTTCCGAAATGCAAAGCTTCTCTTTCCCAGGGCGCCAGTCAAGCGACAAACAACAGTTCTCAAGCTTCCCTGACTCGCATCTGTATCAGACTGACCGTAGTAATGGGACTCGCCTGGATTCTGGGACTTCTGTCGAATTGGAATCCAACTGCATTCCTGGTGTATCCTTCTACTGTGTTAAACAGCATGCAAGGTAAATTTTTGATGCTTGTAACGTAACGAAAAATGTACCTTGAAATTCATCAC